GTTTTCTTAATTAAATTCACTTTAGAAAAGGACGCTCTGCATCAACATTGGACGCCAGAAGTGACAACACTTCCATTGCAAATGTCCAAAGCATTCATATTTTATATCTCTCTTCTTCATTTAAAACGCTCATAACATGTTTATAAAATTGCTGACTCTTTTGGGGTGTAAATATGCCGCCAGTCTCCACAACTTACTATTTTGTTCGAATCTTTTCTTTATTTCCCTACACACTACCACTAGAAATCTCTGCATCACATCTTCGTCAGTGATTCATGCTGATCTTATAATACTCTAGCCTTTGGAAGATGGCATGTAATTGCGATCCCAAATATATCTGATTGACTGGTACATATAGGGAATCATCGTTTATCAATAACCGATGCAGTTGACAGATGCTTTACGGACTAAATACAAAGTTGGGGCTTTACTCTGGAAAATCAAATTTATTGTGTTGAGTTGCGGCAATATGTAATTCAAAATTGAAGTAGCAGAACACAAGTTTCTCCTCAGTTACCCTGCTGTGGAAATACAGTTTGAGGGGGTTGCCACTGTTGGAGTATTCTTGCAACAGCTTCATGGAGTGACAATTACCTCGTGGCACAAGCATGAAATATTTGTGTGGTTTGAGTTGACAAAACCCTGGAATTTCTAAACTCGCACTTCCCTTTGGCACTATGGGAAAGGTAAATGTACACATTTCTCAACACATCTTCACGAGTACGTGGCAAGGACTTTGCTGCTTCGCTGGCACAGAGATGCATACTATGTGCAACACGTTTAAATATGGTAATGCCAAGCATTTGAACTTTCATTCTGCTAGTTACACTGTTATATCCGCCCATAATGTTTGATGCCCCATCTGCAGCAGACCCAATGAAGTTGTTCAATGGTATATCATGTGTAGTTAGGCACTGTAACAGCATGTTATATTTTCACCAGTCGAACCCTGATTACCTTCAAATACGTTAATCAAATCCAGCATCGCGATTTTGTCATAATCTCTCCGGATCAAAATACTTCACTATCACTGCACGTGATTTACTTACTGAACAGTCGGTACTTTCGTTAATAATTACACTAAATTTATTTGTAGTTTCCTAACCATGTTTTGAGTTGCATATTTCCCTATGGCTTGCGCGACGACAGTGCGCCTGGTCCGCTTCGTTGCCGTTTGTGCAACTGTCTTGGAATCGGGAACATTCGCTTATTGAGGTCGACAATGTGGTCACATAAGCTAAAAGGAATATCAAATTTATTAGGCTATACTTGCAACTGAAGATTGTGAGATCACATGTTGCTAAACGAGTAAGGTTTCTGCCACCCTTACTTGGGACACATTAATCACGACCACTTATTGAGCAGTGCCATTACATTTTGGACTAAACTACAAGAGGAATCAAACACTAAATCACCTGAATGCCATCATGTTCTGCCAAAAACGCTGCGAATAGGACAGATGCCTTCGCCGCAGCCTCAGTGTGGCTTCAGCAGGGTGAAGACGTGTCAGGTTGATCAAAGGCACCGCCGCCAGGCTGACCACAATGAGCAAACGTGCCACCGGGAGCAGAGGTGCAAGCTTTGAGTTCTTCCTTACCCGCATGCTGTCTTCAGGTGTGGTGGCGTTTCAACGATGATGTCTCGGCACTGAAATATTTATGGCAAACCTGACGATATGCCTTCGTCGGAGTTCCTGGTACTCAAGCTAGTTAAGAGCGAAAACGTCCTTCGATAGCCAATTTTCTTAGAAATGGGGACGAGGAGGCATAACCTGGAGATGTCAGTTGTTGAGAATATGTTAGACGATGACTCACAAGCATTAAATAATCTCAGTGCACCCATGTGGTATGCATAGGATTTCACCAAATATAGCGGTAATGCAGAGAACCGCTAGTTGAACATAAGTTTACTTGCACATACATGTAATGCACATAAAATATATTAGTTGTGCTTATTGAGTGTGTAATAACGACAGTAAATACACCAATTACCAAGAAAGACTGATGATTGCATGACTCAGAGCCTCTTAATTCATAAGCAACACCAATGATGTTAGTGAACAGTGATCCTGAAAGAAGATTGCACGATGATATTCAATCCACAGACAATTTAGTAGGAGTTATTTTGTTACAGTTTGACAGAACCGTGATCCAAGGTCGTAAATACACGTGTGTATTAATAAATGTTAAGTAGATTATCTTGAACGATACCAGTTTTCGTTTTCTACGTATGAAAAGGCACGAAACTGGTTCATGGAACACTTATCCAATGGTAGTAGATAAACTAATGCATCATAACAAATACAATTAGACCAAATGTGAGACGATACTCGCCGATGATATAAGGAGCCTTACATTATGGTTGCACAGCTAAAACCTCAGAAGTACTAATGAGTGTACAATCCTTCTGCTTTCATTACACGATGGTGCCAGAATGACCGAATCAGTTGACCTGTCAACCTCATCGTCTTTTCTACTGCATCAGCAACGAATTATTGTGTTACTAAACCTTACGTAAAATAAGAAAAGCATCGAATGATATCTGAATTTCATGTCCTCCTTTGGTATTGCATACTTGTACCCTTAAATTGGAAAACATACATTACAGCAGCACTGGTCGGGACACTGCCATAAGAGTGTGGACCACAGGTTGAAAGTGTTCCTTTTCGTACAGGCAGAGCTGCCGCCAGCTACTGAGGTTACGAAGGAAAGGAAGATTGATTCATTACCACCGGTTTTAAGGTAACAAATAACCAACTCAACGAAGTACACGGTAAGCGTGATTAAATTTATTTATAACACCGTATACAACCGGCAGTGAAATGCCACTTATAACACCGTAAGCAACCGGCAGTGAAATGCCTCTTGTAACACCATAAGCAATCGGCAGTGTCCTGCCACTTGTAACACTATAAGCAACCAGCAGTGAATTGCCACCTTTAACACCACAATCAACCAGCAGTGACCTACTATCATCAAACATAAATACAAGCAGCGAGCTGCACCACCAAATACAGGCGGTGAGCAGAGTTTCATCGAACAAACTTTGAGACCTAACCGGAGCCGTAAATGAATATCAATAAAAGGAAAAGAGGTAGTGGAAATGGATCCAGAGCGACAAAGGGGAAATGTGAACATGGGCGAAGGTGACCGAGAACCAGAGGTAGATGTCCCTCCAGAGCTGAATGAACATGACTTTACGGCAACAGAAGCTGAAGGGGGCTTGAGCCTGAATGCTCAGCACCTGACCAAAATCCCGGGTCCAACATGATGGCAGAAGTGCAATGAACTGTTACTGAAATGCTGGAGGCATATTTCACAAAGGGGAAGAAAGAGAAACAGCACGACTTTTGGAGTCTGGGAATTGCAAATCCGAACAGTCAGAAAGGTTCTCAGAGCAATTGTGGGGAACCAAGTCCTGGATGAATATCGACTGCAGACGCTATTTTGTGTAGTGGAAGCGATCATAAATAGTCGACCCATCACCCCTGCCTCGAGCGACGTGAGAGACCTGGAAGCGCTTACACCAGCCCACATCCTCCACGGTGGCCCACGTGCTGATCTGTCACTAGGAGGATGTCTTCTGAAGGACTCATATCAACGACAGAGGCGGCACGTGCAGTTCCTAGCAGACCGCTTCTGGAAACGCTGGGTGAGGGAGTACCTTCCACTACTCCTCAAAAGACAGAAGTACATAGAACCATCCCGGAATCTCCAGGAAAGCGACCTTGTCCTCGTAACTGGAGAAAATCTTCCTCACAACAAATGGCCATTGGGCAGGGACATGGCAGTGGTCCCAGGAGCTGATGGTCTGGTGCGCCAGGTGCGTGTGCAAACCGTATTTTGAACACGCCACACTGTAAATCTTGGGCAATTGCGCAACGCCCGGAGTGTTATCACCGCTGGCTTATTATCGCTGGTGACAGTGATGGCGTTTGCTGCCTTACCCGAACAAACAGGAGATCTCTCACCCTGCGACCATGTGCCCCCCCCCCCTCCCAGACGGCCTGTTACCTCGCCAGATGTGGCGGCTGGGGGGGTGGGGGAACGGTGTTTACCACCGGGAGTGTCATCGTCACTGGCGTGAGTGCTGGGGTTTGCTGCCTTACCCAAACAAAGATTAGGGGATGGGAGGTGTTTACGGACAAGAGGTCCTGATTCTCCTGAATGTATGGTTTAGAGCAGTGGTTCTCAACCTTGTTTGCCCCATGCACCCCTTTCACCATATGTCAGAATGTCATTCCCCCCTCCTTTCCAAGATTGTCTGCCTCAAAAATTGCATTCCAAATAATATGCATATAATACTGAAAATCCTTTATTTTTTCCATATAGTACATATACATTTACAATTTTACATGGATTATTTTTATAGTGGAGTTTTATAAATTAAATGCCAATTGAAAATGTTGATGGATTTATAAAACTTGAATAAAAGTAAAATAGTTTTTTTTTATTTATAATGAATTACTTAACAGACCAAACTGAAGCATAATGCAATAAACAAAAAGTTCAATAGAATACCAGGATATTGTAAATTTGAAATTAATTTTATTCAGATGAAGATTACAGTCAATGAGAAACCTGTGATTGTTTTTTCTTCGCCAATTCTGGGATACGCGGAGGAGTGCTTGAAAGGGCACAACGCAGGTCATTTTCTACCTCTAATCTACTACGTTGCTTCGTTTTAATTTGCAACAGAGTTGAAAAGCCTGACTCACAAAGATATGTCGACACAAACGGAAGCAATGCACGGATAGCTCTTTCTGCCACTTTTGGGTAGGAATCGCACATCAAGGACCAAAATTCTGTGATTGATTTCTCATCGAACATATCTCTTGCTCCCGAATCAGTTTTCAGCTCCAGAAATTCATCTTGACAATCAACAGGAACTTTTTCAACTGACAATTTGAATGGATTTCGCACTAAACCCAACTCATCATCACTGAGTTCAGGAAAATATCGGCTGAATTCATTTTCCAGTGTTGTCAAATGCTGCAAAATTTAATTTTTTGCAAATTGTGGAAGCACCTTGTCTTCACCAACAACAACAAGAACGGATGACATTTTCTCAAACATTGCAACATTTTTTATATTGACCTTTCTCTTCCAATTTTCCAGCTTGCTCATGAAAGCTTTCAAGGCATCCATGAATTTTATGATGTTTGTATTCCTTCCTTGCATCTGAAGATTCAGTTTATTCAGCTGCTCAAAAATATCAACCAAATAGGCAAGGCGCATGATCCATTCCTCATCATCCAGCCAGGCAAAAAATTCCATCTTACCCTGAACTTCAAAAAATAATTTGAGCTCATCTCTAAGCTCAAATATTCGCTCAGTTACATTTCCTCTTGACAGCCATCGAACATTTGTGTGGAAAAGAAGCAAATGATGGGCTGCATCCATGTCGGTACATAACTGCTTGAAAAGTCGTGAGTTGAGAGCTCCTCCTTTGACAAAATACACAATTTGAATTGTTTGCTCCAAAACCTTCCCTAGCGGAGCTGGAAGTGTTTTTGAGGCCAGTGCCTGATGATGGATCATACAATGAATGCCTTTCACTTTTGGAGCTCGCTTTTTCACACAAACTTGAAATCCTGATTTTGTCCCCAACATAGCTGGTGCTCCATCTGTACAGCACCCACAGATATTATCCCACAAAAGATTTTCTGATTCAAAGAAAGATGAAACCTTTTCCAAAATATCCGAGGCCTTGGTAGTTGTTTCAAGAGGAGAACAAAAGAGAAACTCCTCTTTAAATGAACCTTAGTGAACATACCTTGCTAACACCATCAACTGGGAACACGATGCCACATCAGTCGATTCATCAAGTTGAATTGAAAATAAGCCAAATGCTGAAGACTTGATCTCCTGCACAACTTGATCCTTGATGTCAATGGCCATATCGCTGATCCAACTTTGAACAGTACTGTTTGATAGTGGAACCGCTGCAAGTTTTTTCTCCAATCCATTTCCCAACACAATTTCCACCATTTTGAGAGAGCAAGGTTTTCTGCTTTGCTATCTCCAGTGCTACGACATAAGAAGCTTCAGTAACCTTTTGGTTTGTTTCTTTGAATGCCCCTGTTGAATCCAGCTTCATCTTTTTGAGAGCTTTCCCATGACGTTCAAAAAAGTTTTGGTCCTTGTCCTTGTGTTGAGGATGAACATTCTGCAAATGTCGCTTCAACTTTGTTGTTTTCATAGAATCATTTGTCAAAGCTTTACTACAAATCACACATTGAGGCCTTTCTTCTCCATTGATGATGATGGATGTGAATCCATATTCAATATATGAATGATCGTACCCTCTTTTTTTGACACTCATGATGGGCTCCAAATTCTGTAAATAAAAACAAGAAAAAGTCAAAACTATAAATGGATATTTTCACAGATAAAAAAGTGAAATATTTATCTTTATTTTTTATTTAATCAGCAATATGGCTGGCATTAAGAAGTAAATAATGCCAGTGACGCACAAAAAAAAATACGCACAAATATGGGAGATTATGGTCCACGTTAACACCACAAAAACTAGAGAAGCACAGTCACCAATGTGAGTGGGAAACCAACAAAATACTCACAAAAAGTGGCAAACAACACAGGAGCTAACGGAGAGAAAACCCGGCGTAACCTCTCAGTAGCGCGGATCATTGAAGACTGCTCAGAACTGCAAGCATTGAAGTATGAGTCACACTTCATCTGCGAGAGTGGAGGCCCGGCAGGGGTGCAGCGGCGTCGCTTCACCGAGGGGTAAGGGGGTGTTGGGGGTGGGGGTACTCGGGACAGGAGGCTAGGTCTAGGACTCTAAGCAAAGCGTAAGCTTTCGTAAGGGTACTTGCAGACGGACCACTCGGTGGCGCCTATGTCTTTCCTTTGTGGCATCCCTGTCGATGGGTAATCTATTTTGATCCTTACGGTTCAGGAGCTTGTGGTGAACGGTTTGATAGGCTGCTTGCAGCAGGTAACCGATGCATACTGAATTTTGTGCCGCCCTGGGGAGCTCAAAGGCAATAAAAAGATCAACATTCTAACAGTATGAGTTTGCTAATCTGTGGTCCCAATTCCCCCTGAAAACCTGAAATCCCTGGGGGAATTCCCCCCTGGTTGAGAACCCCTGGTTTAGAGGGTGGTGGGCTTTCATGACGCAGATCGCCCTCTCGAGTGACCACCCCCAACCCCAAGCGACATGTGACCAGATGTGGTAGGAGGCGGGTTTTTTTTTTTTTTTTAATTGATTTGTAGGAATATTACCTACGTGGACCTTAAGCTAAAATGCTGGTCCACCCACTGCTGGGATAAAACACCAGCGTCTTTTTGGTTAAATGCACATCTCCACCACTAATGTGGGGGGGGATGCTCGGTAAGAAACTGTAGGGTTTCTTAAGAGTAGTTGGTGGTTAGCTTTCTGGCAACCTTCTCTGCTGTGATAGGTGCTTGTATGTTTCTCCTAGCTAATTGTGTTCCAGGGCACTCTATGAGGTAGTGCTGCAGTGTGTTTTCTGCTCCGCTGTCACAGGTCTTGCACATGCGCTGCTCTGCTTGTGCCGACACAAGTATTTCTCAAATGCATGGGTATCCCAGTCTCAGTCGGTGGAAGTTGACTTCTTCCCTTCTTGTTATATCCTTCATGAATGGTGGTCTCTCATAATTCGTGACCAGATAGTACCACCTGGCCGATCGTGATACTGGTGTTAATCTTCTATGTTTCTCTATTTTCCACTAGGCAGTTCGTGTTATTGTGGTCTTCTTTATCTGCTCCTGACTGGGCGGGATGTTCATCTCAATGTTTCGCTGTTCTAACGCAGCCTTGGCAGCAGCATCAGCTCGTTCATTCCCTGGGATTCCGATATGACTGGGCACCCAGTTAATGATAACTTGCCGATATTGTAGTTTTAAACCTTGCAGTAGTCCAATAACGGATGTTATGAGATGAATGTTGTCTCTATGTTCTCTGCATTGTAGTGCTTCAATAGCACATCGTGAGTCAGTGTGTATTACAACGCCTTGTTGACTGTTTATGGAAGCGTGTCTTAGGGTTCCAAGTATGGCAGCTAGCTCAACTTGCAAAGTAGAGCATCCATCTGAAGTTCTCCAAAGGGACGTGTTACCTCCTTCTATAGTGAAGGCTGCTCCTGCCTTCGTACTAGTGGTCTCTACAGAACCGTCTGTGTAATACACTGTACTATTGTGAGGTGTTAGTGCCTTCATGTTTCTCTCTGCTATCTGTCGGAGCTCATGTGGGTTACAGTCAGCCTTTCTTGTCCCAGTTTGTAGAATGTTGAACATTGCTGGCGGGGACTCCCACGGTGCTGGGGTGCTATAGTCTGGACTCATTGTATCAGGTCCTTTGCTGAGAATTGTGTCTTTCAATTTCAGTCGATTTACAGCGTCAGCTGCGCACAATAGCCATGTTTTCTTGTTAAAGGCAGCTCTGTTAAGGTTCAGTGCTCGTAAGAGTCCATTCTTGATGTCACTTTCCCGAGCCCTAGTAATCAGTTTTGTTGCAAAGCACGCTGTTAATCGTTCCGCTCTGGTTTGGAGAGATGTGAGACCTGTCTCCATGTGTAAGTTTTCAATTTTTGTCCACATAGGTGCCTTGACAATGGCTCTCATAGCGTTATTCTGGGCAACTTCTAATTTCGCCCACTGCCCCTCATACAGTGTGTTAAGATCCGGTGTCGCATAGTCTGTTAATGATCGAATGGCGTGTATATATAGCGTTCTTAGGACTACATGTCCCGCACCCACCTTGGGTCCTGTCATGGCTCTCATCAGGTTGACTCTCTTGCCTATTCGGTCTCTTAGATAGTTTATCTCAGTGTCAAATTTGAGGCATTTGTTAATCCAGATGCCCAGGTATTTGTATACATTGACCCATTGTAGGGCAATACCTTGTATTTGAAGTTGTGTCACCGGCTCATTGTGTCCAAACCTCATGGCTTTCGGTTTGGGGATTGATATCTTGAGCCGGAGCCTCATACATTCTTTACTGATGAGGTCTAGTGCTCTTTGGACTTTGCTGATTTGGTTTCTGCCTTTTACTATCAGTGCTAAGTCGTCAGCACAGCACAGCAGTCTGGTACCCTCCTGAAAGGGGAGCCGACACAAGTTTTCCATGAGGATGTTGAAGAGAGTTGGACTAAGAACTCCTCCTTGTGGTGTGCCATTTTCCAGTCTTTGCTGACCTGAGACTTGTCCTTGACAAGTAACTCTTGCTGTTCTGTTTTGGAGATAGTCAGCAATCCAAGCCAGTAGGTATCCCTTGACGCCTTTCCGGGCCAGAGTGGTTACAATGGCCTGTGCATTTGCCAGCTCAAATGCTTTCTCTAGATCAAGGAATACTACGATTGCCTAATTTTGACCAATCGATCCCAGGAGAGTGGCCAAACTGTGTGCAGTGCTGAGACCTTTGGTGAATCCAAAGATATTGTGGTGAAGTGGTCCAATTTTCCAGAGGAGTCGTGTAAGGACCATCCTTTCGGCGGTTTTGCCGATGCATGCTGTTAGTGATATTGGTCTGAAATTCGGGGGATCATTGGGTTTGGGAATAGGAACAATGTTTGCTCTTTTCCAAGCTGACGGGAGTTTGCCTGCTGACTAAGGGGCGGTGTTTACCGCCGGGAGTGTTATCGCCGCTGGCGTGTGAGTGCTGGCGTTTGCTGCTTTACCCGAACAAAGAAAAGGGGGTGGTGCGGTGTTTACGGACAAGAGGTCCTGAATACGCTAAAAGTATGGTTTAAAGGGTGGCGTGGCCGCCCGGACTCCAGGAGATTGCCCCTCAAGTGATGCTGTGAGAACCAGCCCTCTGCTAGCAGTGGTGAACACCAACTCCCAACCCTGGCCGAGTTTCGTGCTGGAACAATTTACACAGTACTATTTTCCCTTGGAACACCATACTGATTCGCATTGCCCCGCACCACTAAGTAATGCCAAAGTGATGACATACCTCTCAGTACTGAAATATTGTGGACTAATTATGCCTACTCGTTCCTGCCTTATCTGGAGCAATAAGACAACGCGGAATGAAGTGTATCTAAGATTAATAGAGTTATGAATTTTGTATCATGTCACTATGCTCAAAAATCAATTATAATTAAATAAATTGTGAGAATAACTAATTATGTATCAGATAGATCGCCATGTAATACCAATGAATGCCTTGTTCTCTGCAGGTTTTGACCACATCAATAAATATTGAATGCTTCAAAAGGAGGGTTTCAATCATTCCCTTCGACTTGCCGGTCACCTGAACGTCCTTAACCAAAGCGTTTACAGTTATGTTTATGACACATGTAGTTTTTCCTGTTTTTATTGAAAGGTTAGTTGGATTAGGACCTGCCTTAGCAATATTACCTGAACTTCTCTTTGTGTGTGTGTGTGTGTGTGTGTCGTGTGTTCATAGGGCGTGCGTGCGTACGGTCAGCAGCGAAGCACTCTGACAGATTTTCGGTCGTTTTGGTTACGCAACAACATTCATCGCCATTCTGAGACATCTTCACGATGGCATGAAGGGCATTGCCCTACACAGTGGCACCCAGTTTAAGTTCTTCCTCATCCAAACAGGGATAAAACAAAGGTGTATACTTGCACCAACTCTCCTCTCCAGTATTTGG